TCTCCACTCTCCGCCAGTCCAGCCGTCTAGGTGAAGTCGTAAAGGTATTTTCAGTGTATATTTCTTTTGGTCGCCTTCTTGAGTCTAGAGGGAACTCTCTTAAGCAGTTAAGCGTGTGGAAGCACTTAGAGACTGCCGTGTTCTGATTAGAGGATGTGGCAGCATTAAGGATCTAGCAAAGGTAGCATACGTACTCCTATACATTTATTTGTTTTTTCAGCATGACTGTATGATCACTAGGCACTTTACATACATTCTACTGCCAGCTCGGCTGTGTAAGTGTGTATTATAAAAGTGAAGAAATCCAATTCTATCTTTTAGCTTCGTCATTGAATGATTAGTTGACCCTAACTTTCACCCTTAGACTCTGTTCATGAACTAGAGTTTTCTTTTGGTTCCAAAAAATAAGAGACATGATACTTAGTTGAGATAGTATGTAACTTTTTATGTAAATCGTATTTATCTACATGAGCAGCAAGATTGACTTATAGATTGAGAAATTGTAGCCTAATATTGATAGGAACTTGGAATGCATCTATGGTGTTTGATAAAATTCCTCAAGGAAGCAATGCAAACTTTAACTAGTAATTTATTTCAATGTAGAATGAAATAACTTATATTGATGACTGTTTTGGAATATTATCTCAGTGTTTTTTGTAAGAGCATTGTGACAGACTGGTTGTGTAATTAAATGTGCTGATTAGTTCGCAATTAGGGCTCATACTTGGTTTTCAGTTCTGAGTTTTCTGCAAAGCTAGGAGGTTAATTGCTATAGTGATAATGAAAAACTTGCTTGTGTATGTAGTCATTACTGTTTTTTGTAGGTATTTTGAGGCTGTAAATGCTTAGTTATGTGACTTATGTCGCTTATGTGCAAGTCTTACTATATTATGTCACTTGTGGAGCATGAGCTTAGACAGTTTAATGGTTCATGGAATACAATTATGTAGAGACTAAAAAAATCAAAATATAAGTTTTTTAAAACCTTTTAAAACAGTTATTTGCATTTCGTTCTAATTAAGAGACTAGAAAGTGCTACTATCCAGCTTAACAAAAAGTCTGTATTCTCAACAAAGGTCTATTTTTAAAGCGAGTAATAGTTTACTGTAAGTCAGACATGTAGATTTTCTAAAAGAGAGTCACGAATTATTATTGAAGTTAAAATACCATAATTTGAGTACACATTAAATCATCGATGGACAAGAGCTCTTTGTATGAATTATTGTGGTAACTAATTTTAGAAAAAATGATTAATTTACATGCACCAATTACAATTAGTTGAGATTAGCTTTGTTTATAACTGTGATGTGATTGGTTGCTAAGGACGTAGGACTCTTGCTAATGGGTATTCCACCCCTTCCAAACAACATTTATTTTGTTGCTTTTATTCATAGCATTATTGTTTCCCAAATCCCAAGTGGGATGAATATAGGGAGCATTATTGCATATCTTTTTACATTTCTTTTTAACACATTAGCATTATTGAATATAAGGATGAATAAAGTGGGATAAACTTTATTTGTGTAATGTAATATTTTATGTCAAGAATATTTTATTTTTTGATATTATGTTGAATCCGAGTTGGCCGCCTAGTCGGCGACTAATCGGCGCCTAGTCCGCCTAGGCGCTAGGCGGTGCTTGACCGCCCGACTAACGCCTAGCGAGTTTTAGAACATTGCATGTAGTAAACTAGCTTCTTAAATTCGTAATTTGTTTCGATATTATTATTGTACTACTATTGTATTACTTTTGTTCTCTACCCATACCAAGATTCCAAAGAGATCGAAAAATGTTGTGGCGGCTCACCAAACTCACGGTCACAGTAATATCAACTATTCTCTAGAAATATCCCTCTACTTCTACTCAAATAGGCAATGTCATTTTTATTACTTATTGTACCTATGCATTCAAATCCGTATATTTGAAAAAACTATTATGTACATTTTAAATTGTTGAAGAATGTGGTGGAAATGTTAAATACCTCTTTATTTCTATCATTAAATTAGTATATAAGCAGGGGCGGCCCTGTATGTTCGAAGGCCTAGGGGCGGAAAATTAAAATGGGCCTAATGTTACAAGAAATTTGTAGAACTCTTTTCTATCTTAAATGACATGCATAATAATTATAATAATAATATTTTAAGACATTTAGAATTTGACTATGTGTTCCACATTCAAAATATGTTTTCTTTACACAAACAAACTTTTCCGAGTTTTTTTTACTCATCGCCGCTTTCTCTAATCTTCTATTCTTTTGTACGGAGTATTTATCGTATTCAGTATTCAGATTCAATCCTTTTTATTACACTTTGAAATTAATTAAGTTTATAAATTTTATCATAATTGAAAATGTTTGTCTAACAAAATCAACAAGTTATAACACGAACACTCAATAAAAAACAATCAACAATTAAGAAATCAAACAACCATGAATGGAATCAATTAATAAACTAATCAAATAATCATATCCGATTAATATCCTTTCGAGTGGAATTTCTTTATGAAATTTTAAGTGAATGTTTTTCATCATGTGTAGATTATGTCCATAAAATTTCAGCTTAAAGTGCAATCGTGAAGTCAGTTAAAAAAATTATTGAAACACAATGTGCCAAAATATATGTATAAAAAAGCAGTGTTTTCAATAATTTATTTAGGTGACTTCTAAATTAAACTTTAAAATGATTTTTTCTCACATATTCTAAACCTCATAGAAAACATTCAGAAGAACTGCAACAAATTCCACTCGAAAAATTGTTACTTTAGGGCCGAAAAATCAGTCTACTCACATCTGTTACAAAGAACTAAAGTTGGGCCTAGTTTTTACCAATATTTTTTTGGGCTTAGGGAGCCCGCCCCACTTGCACCCCCCCCCCCCCTAGGGTCGCCCCTGTATATAAGACATACATTATATGTCGTATTTTTAAATTGTGAAACGTTTAAAACACGTCCGTATCTTTATATATTTCACGAACGTATGAAACATATATTAAACCGTATTTTATATAATTGTATCGTATTATACGCAAACGTACGTATTATTGTATTATTCACGAACCGTATATTACTAACAAAAGGTAAAAACAAGCTCTCTTCTCCGAAAAGATTCAACCGAATTGGCAATGCTCGACCATAAAAGTAATTCATTGATCCCTCAAGCTGAAACCCCTTTGTCACGACTGATTTCATGGTTGCCTTACTCCAAGAGGTAATCTCATGTAAAGAACAGTTTCGTATTTTCGTTACAAACTCCGCCCTGCGTCGATGTGCTTGTCCCATGCATATAGTACCTTTTAGGCTTTTCATTATGCCATGGCCATGTGCATAATGACCGCATAATACATAGGTGAATGTCGTGATTGTAATTTTTAAGGAAAAATTGTTAAATATGACAGTGCATTTTGTCGAAATTTTATAGTTTTTATATCACAATTCGAGTCTTGATACCCATTTCATAAATCATTTCTCATGACATTGTTTTCTTACAATTTTTTAGAAATTTTATCAATTCACTAACTAAAAGATAAACGAAGTATATGTTCTATACTTCTATCAATTCAGAATGAAAAATGAAATGTGTCAATATAGAGCCAAATGATAGGAAACTATCGATATAGGATCTAAGTTGTCATGAATTTTATTATTTTTTAGTTTTAAACAGTTAAAATATTATTTAATTTTATTAAACTAATAAACTTTTGAGAAGAAAAAATCCTCAAAAGTTAGCAACAGAATAAATAAAAAATTAAATAAATCAAAACATATGGAATTTTAGATCCTAGATTGATAGCTTTAGATCATATATCGACACATTTCATCTTGTAAATTCCAGATTGATAGTTCATTTATAGATTATGAATTGATAAAGTTCCTATTAATAAATATTACGGAGTAATAGATATACTCCTTACTTGGTAGTATATCTTTTAAATATACTTGGTATTGAACTATGTACGAATAATAAATCTCTTATAATGTGACTTGTTTGGCCCCAGATCTCTCATATTACGTATATTACATAAATTCAATACTTGAAACTACAAAAAATTGCACAAAGCAAGAGTAAATAAATAAATTTAATAACCAGGCTAACATAGGTTCTTCTAACAAATGCAAGAAAGTAAGTGCCAAAGATTCAGCTAGTTAAAATTAGTGATGGACCCGGGCCGGGTCGGGGCTGGGTTGGGCCTAGGCCCAGCGGGATTTTGGGGTATAAGCTGTAGGCCCGGAACCGGCCCGGATATCCACCGGGTCCGGTTCAGGCTGGGCCTGGTTATTTTCTTTTTTTGCTTTCCTAACTACCCCTGACCCCCCCCCCCCCACACCCACCCAAACCCCCCAAAACACCTAGCCCAACCCGGGGGGAGCAAACAAAAATTGAAAAGATATACTCCCTCCGTCCCTAAATAAACTGACAACTTTCCTTTTTCGTTCGTCCCAATTAAAACTTCCACTTTCCCTTTTTGGCCAAAATTTGTGATTCACAACAATTCTTACACATTTCTCTCTCTTCTGCACAACTCTCCACCACACAATACCCACTATTTTAAATTATGTGCCAAACCTATTTGGAAGTTTTATTAGGGACGGAGGGAGTATATTTTTTTGCACGAACCGGGCCTGGCCGGGCCGGGCCACCTTTTCTTCAGCCCAAGCCCGCCCCGCTAAACCCTACGGTCCGGGTCAAAAGACCGGTTTGGGACCCGAAGCACCGGTCCGTGCCGGGCCCGCACAGTAGCGGGCCAGGCCGGGTGGCCCGGACCAGGTCCATCACTAGTTAAAATTATACAACTACCAAACAAGGCATACAACAACCTTTAAAGCGGGTTCACAACCATTTGTATTCATATTTGTGAAATCAAAGTCTTAAACGGAGTAATAATTTAAAGTACGAACTGCGTATAAAAAATTTCCGTTATTTACAACTCTAGTAGAAAATTAGCCTGATTTAGTTGATCAATTATTATATTTTATTCTAATCGATTTAAATTAGACCCACAATGATCGGATTTGACAAAAGGGTTGGAATAAATCTGTCCAAACTTCAAGTTTCAAATCTGGTTTGAAACCATTCTTTTTGCTACAATATAGTTTGTAGAATTGTAGTAGTTAAATAATACTTGTATATATTTTTGTCAAGAATGAAAATCTCATAAATACATTCATCATGAAGCCCATCCACGATATAATTTGGGGAATTGGGGGAGTGTCCTTCCAAAACATACTACCTGTCATAGAAACAACGTAAATGCTATCATCACGAAGCACATCCACAATATAGTTTGGTGGAGCACCCTTTCAATGACCAAAACGTACATGTCAAAGAAGCAACGTAACCCGCAAAAGATTGGAGCACAATACCCGAGCCATAGAAGTAATCCGTGGGCTAATAAAATAGGAAAGTTAAGATGATATCGACCAGAAAATATGGGTAGCACATAATTGATCCTTCCAGCTAAAAACCCCTTTGGCACAAGTGATTTCACGGTTGTTCTGTTATGTTGGACTTCGTGTGGAGAACAGTTTAATTAGAATTTCCGGTGTGAAGGATACGAACTCCAACCAGTGTTGACGTGCAAAAAGTTTCTGGAGAAATTTCTTTTAGACATGCATCCCCATGTGCAAATAGAGAGATGAGTATTGCATAATTCTTAGACCACGACAATCTCCTCGGCTCTGGAGCGAATGCCTTTCAAATACTCCACAAGAACCCGCTGCTCATAAGAGCCACCTTGCTGAGAGATATAGAGTGTAAATCATTGGTGGGATTGGATAACTCCAAAATTGACATCTCAAGGATATAGCATTAAAAAGAAATGGCAAGGGTTTCTAGAGACTAACCGTCCGCATTATTGTTCGCTCTATTCGCTTCTTAACAACAGCATTAAACTCTTCAGGTGAGACATCACCTTTGTCCACAGTCATTCCATCCCCCAACAACCTGTTCCATTCTTCTTCTGGAGCTGCATCAACAAAACAGGACTCCATATTGGTCACTTTGACAATGGTAAGATGATTAAAATTTGTTCCGACGGAAAGGCTCCGGAGAGTTAGCTTATATCCTAAAATATTGACTTTGTACCCCACTTTTTGGGTGATATTAGACTTTACGCCCCACTTTCAAAAATTCTGAATGGGGGGTGCGAAGTTAAAGGATTTTTAAGTGAAATGTGGTGCAAAGTCAAAGTTTTTTTAAAATGGGGTGCAAAGTCCAATATCACCCAAAAGTGGGGTGCAAAGTCAAATTCCCCCTACAATATATTACTCTCTCCGTCCGTCTATCTTTGTTCCATTTTACCATTTTTCGTCCATCTCACTATGTTTGTCATACCATATTTGGTAAAATTTGGTGATTACAATTCATTCTTACTTTATTTACACTTTATTTAATTGGCTAAAGGGTCAAATAGGCCCTTGAACTAACTTAAAGTTTTCAATTAGCCCCTTATATAGGAGGTTCTGCCCGGCCGTCGTCAATTGAGGCGGTTCCCGGTGGAATTTTTTGATGAAATTTTTTGAGCATCTTCTTCATTAAGTCTAGTTTACCCATACCAAATTTCAGCTAAAAATTCAACCGGGAAGGCAATCAAATGATTTATTGAAGATAACTGCGTAGCTAAACAGCGCAGTACATTTCGGAAAATCATTTTACTACCTTCCCGATTTAATTTTTAGCTGAAATTTGATATGGGTACAGGGGTGGAGACAGGGAGGGGCTGGAGGGGGCCTCGGCCCCTGCAAGGAAAAAAATTCTTAAGTACATATAATGTATAAATACGTTTAATCTATAGAAAATATGTTGATATTTTAAACTTTGGCCCCTGCAAAGTAAAATTTTCAAGAACCGGCCCCTTTAACTATAGACTTCTGGCTCCGCCACTGTATGGGTAAACTAGACTTAATGAAGAAGATGCTCAAAAATTTTCATCAAAAAATTCCACCGGGAACCTTTCCAATTAGCGATGACCGGGCTGAACCTCCTATAAAAGGGGCTAATTGAACACTTTAAGTTAGTTCAAGGGCCTATTTGACCCTTTAGCCTTATTAATTTAATATCAACCACACAATTTCACTTTTCTTAATAACTATAGCACTCCCTTTTGTTTCAATGTTAGGGGACCGGAGATAGTACGGAGTATAAAATAGAGCATAGTGCAGGGTAGGAACCTTTGATTATGGTCTCGAGAAGCTGTTCAGCTTTTAGCACCACATTCCCTGCCAAAGAAAGAAAAAGAGTAAATCTCAATTCCAAGCAATTGGTATAGGCTCCTTAGCCAATACTATTTTCTTAATTACAAAGTAATATTTTGGGATTGTGATAATCAGATATCCAATAACAAAAATTGATCTATACAACTACAACAACATCCAAGCCTTAATCCCAAAAGAGTTTGAGGTTGGCTCGACATTTGAAATCGGAGTTAAAAAGGATTGAAAGAGATAAATCATCTCCACATGAATACTCTCTCTCCATTTCGCTCTCTAAGTGATATTCATGTCATGCCATGTGACTAATTTATATTATTGGCCGTCACGCGCCTACCATAGCACCTCCTCCATTATCATGACTTGGGACATGCATGATATCGAAAAATGATCTCATGACAGAGTTGAAAAGTATAGATTTATAAATAGAAAAAAATACAATCATAGATCTAAAGAAGGAGAGCCTTGGAGCACTGGTTAGAGTGTTGTTGTGTGAGTAAGAGGTCACGTGTCCCAGTCTTGGGATGGGAGTGGCCTCTGATCAAAATGATGAGGGGAAGCTTGCTCCTTATACACCCTTGTGATAGGACCCTTCCCTAGACCCACGCCATGTGAGGAAGCCAATGTGCAATTGGGCACCCAGCTGCCCTTTACAATCATAGATCTAAAGTCACCTTTTCTTGCATAACTACGCTTAGAGAGAACTCTGGAAGCGTAGAGCTGCAGAACTTTTTGCAGCATAGCTTGAAGCCCTGGCTTGTCCCCATCTTTCACCTATAGTTAATGCATCAAGTTAAGATTATACTTGAACATAACAATTAACCAGGATAACTTGTTCAACATCATTTGCTCTGGCAATCAGCTTCACTGATCAAAAAGCAATAATCTTATATCTTGATCACATAACACCAAACAAAAAGACAGATGGAGCTTAAGTAAATACTACGTCCCAAAAGAGGCATGCTTCACAAGTAAATTTCGTCCTAAGAATAGAGTCCTACTTCATCAGAAGAATCTAGTTTTCAATTGAATTAAATGTTTTTTCAAACAAAAAAAAAGCATTCTAAATTAAGTTATATTTGAAGGGCCATTACTAGTTAGTCTGGTTACAATATGTTAAACTAAAGTTATATTTGAAGGGCCATTACTAGTTACAATATGTTAAAATAAGTTAACACTAATGTTTCAAGACAAGTATACTGCATTTAGTTATGAATCTAATTTTTTAGTTAAACTAAAGTTTTGTTCAAGGGGCCGCCACTAGTTACAAGATGTAGTTAAGGATCTAATTTTTTTTGGCAACAGGGATCTTTTTTTGGCAACAGGGATCTTTTTTTTGGCAACAAGGATCTAATTTTTTTGTATAGCTAAAAAGTTTTCTGAACAAGTAAAGCAGACAAATATATTTAAAAATATAAATAGGATGGATGATGTACAAGAGTTGTACCTTTACTGAATTTAAGTCATTAGTAAACATGACTTCATTTTTTGGGGGTGGGGGGAAGGACCGAAGGAGTATAACTGACTGTCTATAAATACAACATCCTTACTCAATGTGCAAAGTGGTCATCAGTCATGAGTTCACTGGGTATGTGGTATTTAAGTATTAGACGTGTGGAATTCTAATGGCCTTTCACTTCCTTCTTCTATGTCCTATATATGGTTTGGTCAGTCCAAGGTCTTCATTTGTAGTCAGTGGTAGATTATATGTTAATCAGTCACCCGTCACCTAAGGTGTAAATGATAAAGTCCAGTTATAAATGATGATATCATTTTTTGAGCCTAAGAGAGGACTTGAGTAGTTGAGTAATTAACAAAGTTCTAATTCAAGAATCTTACTTTCCGTAGTTGTGCATAAACTTCGGACAGGAATCCTTCATCTAGTTGGCCTTCTTGCTCCCTTTGGTTTAATTCCTGAAAAATGAGCAATAAATTTAACCTACTAAAATCACAAAGATCATTTAGTTACATTAGGAGTAATAATGGCAAATTATACTCCAAGTATGAAAGCCAATATTTCCACTTCCATCGTTTGATGTGCCTGTCCTCAACTCTTCTAGCACCACATGCTTGTCTTATAAACTCAAGTTCATTTGTTTTACAAATAAATGGTTGCGAGCTGTACAATGATATTGTGAAAATCCCATAATCAAATGTGCACACCACACCTTAATCGCCACAAGTGAAAAAGTGCAACATTTGTCTATTAGAATCTATTTAGAGGAACTTAGATATTCATTCTAGTGAGATAATCTAATCACCAAATGTTCACATCTCAATCATCTTGCTTGATGATGAAAAACTTACTGTCAAATCGTCAATGGACTAAAATCCATTGATAGTCAAACATACTGTGTTTGACTTCTCCCAGCGATTCATAAAAATCTTTGTTATACAAAAAGCAATTATGAACCAATGGCATCATCATCAACAATCCCTAACACGTCAAAGATGTCAAGAGATGGTTTGGATATAAAACGACATTTCAATGAGAAAAAGAAATGGTTTATAATGGAAAATTGGAGGTTAGTGCTCTTATTTCAAAATTGGTAATGGAGCATTTCATTAAAAAAAGGATTGGAGGATAATGGATTTTAATTAAAAAGGATAGAGCTGTGATGCTAACTGTTACGCATTACAGCATTAGATCAGTATACAAAAAACAACCCCCACCCGCCTACAAAAGAAAGACCTAAAAAACATATTAATATTATGCACATACAGCACAAATGTGTTCTTTAAGCATAACAGATATAAGCTTTAAGAATACTTTTTCCAAAAGGCTGAGAGCTTCAGGATCTCTTGGAGGCCAAAAAACATCCTCCTCTTCATGAACTACGGGCCTTAAGATGGCTTTAAGCACATCTGTATCCGACTCTATCTTTTCCTACAGAACCAAAAGCAGAAACACGAGAAACGTCATAGTGGCTCTTGATATAGAATAAAATCCAGACCACCAACCGAACTTTATTTTTTTATGTAGGACAGAAGAGTTCATAATCAAGAAAGAAAATGCAAAAAAAAAATCACTTTTATGTTGTTTCACTGGTAACCATTCTTCTTCTTTTTATGAATGTTATTGAACATGTATTTTAGAGCAAAAGAAAGGAGACCATACCTGGGTCTTATGCACAAGACTATCAACCGTGTCCATTAAGATTGATGCCAGTTCTTCAAGGTCTTTCTGCAAATGCAAAGGCAAATGGATCATTCACAATGCTGAGAAGTAAGGGCATATCACAGGGTTTTCAACAAGCAGAAAATTATAGAGTGTGAACTGTGGAACCATACCTTGTCATCTTCGGATTTGCAGGCATCGGCTCTATCAGCTATTCTCATCCAAAAGCTCTCATTGAAAACAAAGACATTCTCTGCAACAAGTTTCCGAATCTGCTTCCAAAGAGAGTGAAAGTTTCAATCAACACATCAAGAAAATTATGGTTCTATACAGATATATTGCGTAAACTCAAGTTCTGTCTAGATAGCCAAGGCCTCTTCCCATGATAAATTGGCAATCTGGTGTAATTCCACCCTCCCTCAAAAGAAAAACCGCAAACGTGTATTCTTCTCAGTTCTCATATTATCGCGTTTAATGCATTAGCTTTTACAGTTTTGGGGTAGTGGACTTCTGGATTACCAGCTCATCCATATGACAAAAGGTTGGATGGTTAAGAATCAAAGCAATCAATCATTAACACAAGCCTCACTTAGAAGGCTTAATCAGGATTACTAGCTCATCTATACGACACAACATAGTCGGATAAAAGAATCATTTAGCTTCAAAAAGTAACAATAAATTTTATGGCATCTTAATCACGCTAGTTAGAGTGTGCATTATTAAATGATCCGAAGACATTTCTTGCATAGTCTGATCAAAAGCAAGGCTTACAAAAAATTGCATCACATTAAAATATAAAATGACTGCATTTCATTTCTTTTATCATCTGCAACTGCAACTGTCAGTACATCTAGAAGCCAATTTAATTAGGCATCCTATAAACTTGCTAGTAGCTACAGTATGCAGTCTAGGATGATCTCATATTATTAGAAATGAACGCATTTCACTTACTTCTTTATCATTTGCGGTCCTCAGCATATCTATTAGCCTATCCATTTCTACTGAATGCTTGAATGAGTCATCATCTTCTTTGACTGCACAAATCAAAGGTCTCCTGCTTATTTCGTGAAAAAAAACTGAAAATCAATATTACTCGCAACTAGTATCTATAACGGTAATTCTGTGAGATTGACTTTTGTCATATTACCTCTGATTCCTTTTGCCCAATTTTCTACACGTATTTGAATTGAACTTCTCGCTCCTAAAACCTCCACTCCACAAATAACACTGCAAAGAGATGTGAGAGAAAAGAGCAAGTAATAGTCGACGTAGGTAGTAGAGAATAGCTGGATAGATAACTAATGAACTACCGTAAACCGTCGTGAAGATGACTGAAGAAAATGCGAAGTACAAGGATGCGCTCGTGCCGCGAAGGATGTCGCCATTTCAGAGCACTTTTGATTGATACCGGTAAGGGTGGAATGGCGGGAAAGACTGCCGTCTGAGATCTTTGCCCGGATAATTCCTCCTCCTTCGCTAGCCAGATTTTGTGCCAGTCCGGTGATCAGCCTTAGCCTTACTCAACAAAATTAAAAATTACGTCCTCCTAAACAGTTTTTTTTTCTTTTTTGAAGGAAAGTTTTTTATTATTTAATTTAGCAAAACTATTTTTTTTTGTAACAGGAAGACTTATATTGATAATAAAACATTCAGCAAGGGACACAAATGATAAAGGAAATCTTTCCAGCCACTGACCCTCGAACCAGCTGAAGAACCAATCACCCTAGGCAACAATATGATTCGCCGATCGTGTATTGGGTCTAAATGAGGCAATGAGCCTAATGTGGCCAGAGCAAAACTCTCATCACCCCCACCTAATGTAAGAGTTTGACAAATCAACACAACAGTAAAGGAAAAAAAAAACAAAGTCTGATAGCATAGCATGAAAATAAAAATAGTAAAAGCGTGGAAATTAACTTGCATCCTGAAACACATGAATGAGCACTAGCACCCCTTCCCAGCTAAGAGCATCTTCAGAGTACTCGGCGGGTCGAGGTGCCTAAACTCGCCCTCTCTCCGTTTTTTGGGTCGTCCAAGACCATATTTTCCCTCTTGTCCCTCTCACCACTATCTTCTTCCCCTGTCCTCCTACGTTTTGGCTCTCCACTTGTGTGGACCATCCACATCCGCTATTTCTTCATCCTCCGTACGACTCTTAATGTTCCCAGCCAAAGAAAGTGTCATCCCTGCCTGCTCGGACCAGCTCTCCCTCCATCCTCTCGGTCTGCCCTACTTCCATCCCTTGATCCTTCTGGACTAACCATTTGTCCCCCCCCCCCCCCCCCCAAACGTGTGGGCTTTCCCCCCTCCTCCTGCGCGTAGGCCGACCCCATACTGCTAGCTTGTTGGTATCCACAGATATGTTTTCGTAAATCAGGGGACAAAACCTGCCAGCATGTCCTATAATACCACAAGAAAAACAAAAACTAGGCAACTTCTCATATTTAAAGTCAATCCAGTGCCCTTCACCCTGTCCCTTACTGAGAATGGTAACCACCTTTAATGGCTTCCACCTTTAAGGATATGGCTATCGGTTCTTCCTCTTGATCCCCGATAGCCATATCCTTATACTCCTATTTTTTAGCGATTTCTTCCATCTTCCATTCTTCGTTCTTGCAACCACCGGCCAGCCACCCAACACTATGGACAAAGACGAAGATCTACTTCCCTACCTTCGCCGAAAATGCCTATCTGAAGAGCGCACCCCTCGTCGAGCGAAGCAGAATTTAGCGAAATTATTTAAAGTGATTAAAATCTAAGTGCGCTTTTTATAGGATGTAAAATAACTACTTTGCATGTGAAGTGAAGGAACAAAAAATATTAACACAGTCTAGTTTGATTATTTAATGTAAACTGTTATACAATTTTTAAAAACATTTTGCACTGTATCATGAAAGTATTTTACGTGGGAGGAAGGTGGTAAAATATTTTGCATGTTTTTTTATAAAGCACTGCAATGTTTTTGCATGCATATTAAAAATAAATTATACATCTAGACAAACAATGTAATCTATTTTAAATGTAAAGTGACTGTTTCCCTAAACTTTGTATGCAATCATTTTACGTGCAAAGATTTAACATGTAAACTATCAAACAATCTTTAAATTATAATCAAAATTTGAATAAAATAAAATGACATTGATAGAATATTTCTTGCCAAAAAAGTAAATATGACATTCATCTTGAGCAATGAAAACAATTAAAATAAGTGAAATGACACGGAGGTAGTCCTCATTTGGGAAAAGAATTTTGAGGTTTTTAACTATAATTAATAATTTTGATTATGTAAACAATAAAAATTATTACTCTCTGTATTTTAAAGTTTTCTACACTTTTCTTTTTTAAATGTATTTAAAATTTTGTTACACTTTCTCTTTTTGGTAGGTTTTTGCTTAAAAAATGATCAATTACTTTACCTTTTCTACATTTTACCTTCTTTTCTTCTTAAATATTCAATAGATGAAAGATAGACTAGCTTGTTGAACCCAAAAGGCTACAAATAGAAATGCTAATTAAGAACTCGTTTGGTGATCATGTTTTCAGCTTGTCAGCCAACATTTTCATTAAACAAATAACTTTTGATTACGTGTGCTGAATTCTGTAATAATAAGAAAAAGTAAGATTGAAGTTACTTTTTAGTTATATTAGTTGAAGTTACTATAGAGGGTCATTTAGTTGTTTTTTCATATAATTTTTTCCTTGTTTTATTAATAAAATATATTTCAAATATTTTTCTCATAAATCAACAGAATCAGACAATCGAGACACTTCAACCATAAATTCATCAATTTCAGCAGAATCCGTCAATAGTCAATACAACCAATTTGGATTTTACCGAACAGACTATATGACAGACAACGTTTAATTGGTGTCTCTTCCTTTTGTGCCCTCTCTATTTTAAGCATGTTGTCTTCCTCATCTTATTTATTTCAGCGTTATTTTCAAATTCTTCATAGGTTTCTAACAAGTGTGGGCATATCGGTTTTCGATTTGATTTTTATCGGTTTCGGTTCGGTTTAGTATGAAATGGGTTGGAAGAATTATTACTAAACAAAAACCATACTATTATTCAGTTTGGATCGGTACGGTTTAATTCGATTTGGTTTGACTTGGATTTGTTATTTTTAAAAATATATATGAAGGTTTTATTGAATTTCTTTAGATCGGTTCGGTTTGTTCGGTTTTTAACAGTTTCGCTTCGGTTCGGTTTAATATAGTTTGAAAAAAATACTATCAAACTCAAACGAAATTGTATATGGTCCGGTTTCGACTCGATTAAACCAAACTAAAATACCCACCCCTTCTTTATTATACTCTGTATTCGTTTATGTGGTCCTTTTCTCTTATATGAAGTGTTTGTTTTGATTCTATCTTGGCGTTGAATTACTGGAGGAGATGTATAGCAATAGCTATGCCGATGGATTATCCTCTGGTGTAGAAGAATTCGTCATGTAGGTAGATGAATTGCTCCAAAGCTATTTGTCACCCTCAATGTTAAGTTAGAGTATGAGGGTTCACCTACATTTTGTGTTTTGAGAAAATGGTTACTTCACTATATCAAGTTGAGAGCCGTAGAGTAAAGAGTACATCAGTTTACAAATCAAACGCAATCATCCTTCTACTCGGTTGTTTGGTGTTAAACGAGTAGAGTAAAGAGTACATCAGTTTACAAATCAAACGCAATGATCCTTCTACTCGGTTGTTTGGTGTTAAACGAGTACAAAAACTAACCCACCGTTTAAAAACGCTCGTGTGGCACTTAAGAGCCGTTTGCTTCGTATACAGTGGAGGCCAAGTCAGCATCCGCCCATTTCCCCATTTTATATCTAACCCTAAATTCAATTTTGCATCGTATACGTCAAAGATTCAGGTCTTCCGCTTCAGATTGGTTTCGTTCGAGAAACATGTCTCCTGGCAAGGGTGAGTTGCTATATTTTTGTCATACAAGACTTATGAGTTGGTATACATGTCTTCTGATAGTATAAGACTTCCGAATGGACATAGGTGATGTAAATAATTGTTCGTGTTCTGGATTTTTTGTTTAAGCTAATTGGAAAGATATTTTGGGTGCAAGAGACATGGTTTATGGGAAGTGTAGATGTGGAATTCCTGTTAAACTGATGACGTCCTGAACAAATGACAATCTATTGAGACGCTTCATTGCCTACTCTAGAATTGTTTTTCCCTTATCTGATTTCTGCCATTTACCTCTGCCACTACTATTTTGTCATCAGCTTTCTTAAGGGCATTTGACCATGTTGTAACTCCTCAAATGTCACGCCCCAGACCGTATCTAAGCGCGTGTACAACCACCGTATAATCAAGTGATGTCACCCGCGAGTCACACTCACTCGATTGTACAAGGCGTCCATGAACTTCATTCATACCAAGCTCAGTGAGTAAACATACATAATAACATCACAATATAGATTGAATGAATAACAGAAGTATTCAATAGTCAATCATGGGCCACATATGACAAAATGTGGGCTCGCAGGCCCAAAACAATGTGTCTATTACAAAATATCCATGAGCACAGTTTATAGTTTGAAAACAATAAAGGAAGCACGAACCACGTCTTCCTTGAGATTTCTTCACCGAGAAAGGGTGTGGATAATAAGCTTTAGCTTCAACCTGAAATGGTGGGGCCCCCGAAGGGGTCAGTACGAATATCGAGCGAGCATCAGGCTAAATGTAGGATAACTAACGTTTCAGGTATAAGACCAAACATAGGGCGATACATACACGTATATTCCTTTCCCCCAAGTTATGAAATACCTATCACTATATATACACTTGGAAATACCCGACCCGTAGGTCGTTGTTTATTTGGGAAAATAGTAGTAGTCAATGTACTTGACTTAAATCCCAACCCACCCTTATACATATGAGTGTATAAGACTCCTCCTGGTCCAAATCAATCATCATAATCTATGAGTTTTAAGGACAACTTAGTCCTTAGGTACTCCACCAATTCATAATCCGAGTTTTGAGGACGATTTAGTCCTTGGGTCCTCCACCGTTTATGCATTTGAGTCTTGAGGACGGTTTAGTACTTGGGTCCTTCACCATTTATTCATATGAGCTTTGAGGACAGTTTAGTCCTTGGGTCCTCCACCATTTGCATATCGAGTTTTGAGGACACATCGGTCCTTGGGTCCTCCACCAATTCATAATCCTATGACCTACCACACATCATACATAGATAGGGTCCATATCATATTATCGTTAATGACTAATCCAAGCCTTAACATCTAATCATCTAATTATCAAACATTAACATTTGAGCATCATATTCCATGCAATTCCATGCAAAATATACACATAAAGGATCAGGGGCGGAACCAGGGGGTGGCGAGCCGGTGCCGGCGCCACCCCTTCACCGGAAAATTTTTAGTACTAGTATAGGCCATTTGATTAGCGCCCCGGTCGCCCCCTCATCTTCTTCCTTGGAGAGCTGCGGTTGCCGAGTGCGGACCTGTGAGATGCGAGCTACAGAGATATAGGTGCACAGCCATTTTTTTTAATTAATTAAAATGCCAAACGACGTCGTTTCTTTAAGTGCACAGGAAAAGATATACGACATCGTTTTGGTCAAAAATTTGATTTACACATTTGGGTTTTGCAGCTTTGCTCGTTGGCTCGTTGCTACACGTCATTCTCTCTGGCCTCTGCATCTCTAGGTCTTATTCCGCCCCCCTGCTCGCTGGTCGCATCTGATACTCCAGCCGGACGCCTCTCCGGCTCTCCCGACGCCAGTCGTGGCCTTCTAGAGCCGGCGCGAGGCCGCTGCTCTCCCTAGAGTATATTTTCGATCAGGGCATCAGGCCATCTCTGACCAGTGGCACTCTAGACTCCAGCAGGTTCAAAACGTTTTTTAACTTTGCACGCTTATCAGTTTATTAATTACTTACTTGATTACTTCACATCTTCAAAGTTTATAAAGTTTAATGGGAAAAGGGGCAAATAAGGCCATGTACTAACCAAAAAAGGTCAAATAAGGCCTTATTTAGGAGGCTCTGTACGGTCTTCGCCATTTGGGGTGGTTTCCGGTGGAATTTTTTTATGAAATTTTTTTAGCATCTTATTCAGTAAGTCTAGTTTACTCATACCAAATTTCAGCTAAAACTTCAATCGGGAAGGCATTCAAATGAATTCTTGAAGATAACTGCGCAGTTAAAAGCTCAGTTATCTTCAAGAATTCATTTGAATGCCTTCCCGATTGAAGTTTTAGCTGAAATTTGGTATGAGTAAACTAGACTTACTGAATAAGATGCTAAAAATATTTCATCAAAAAATTCCACCGGGAACTACCCCAAATGGCGACGACCGGACATAACCTCTTAAATAAGGCCTTATTTGACCTTTTTTGGTTAGTACGTGGCCTTATTTGCACCTTTTCTCAAGTTTAATTGATTAACTTTGCACGCTCCAGCAGGCTCCAGGAAGACTTCAATTGCTTTTAAAGTTTAATCGATTAATTGTTTGAATTGGTTATTGGTATGAAGTTGAAATTGATTGTGCAATTTTTTTGATTAATTAGTTTCATTGCTTAATTTGCTTTAGACTATTGTTGCTTTAAATTTTAATTGATTATAACTACTGAATTTGTGTAGGTTACTATCATGTCTATTTTACGATTTGTAACACGAGACGTTGGGTCTTCTAGACGAGATAGTGAATAAAATAGTAGAGAAAAACATCCTCGTGTTGAATTTGATCCAAATGATGTTGTTTCTGATCCTGGATTACGTAAGCCAATCAAAGCTTATAATTCTTTTATTAGAGACCAGGTTATGAGAGAATATTTAACAAGAGGTCCGTGTAGACCGATTGGTCATATATATCCTAAGAGAGTGTATGGTAAAGAAAAAAGAAGTTTTCAACCTGCTTGGTTTGAGAAATATCCATGGTTGGAGTATAGCATTTCAAAAGATGCACGCCGCACATAGTTGTCTCGATTGCCTTCTTCTTCTAACATTTAATTGTAATGTAATGTACTCTTCTCGCAAATTTTATATTTTGTAAACTTTAATAACAATTTATATTTTTGCATTTTATAAAACTTTTAGCCACCCCTTTACTTTCGTTCTGGTTCCGACACTGTATAGGATGGTCGGGGTCAATCCCCCCTCAAATCGGGCCCCAATACGCGTTTTCGGCGAAAATGAATTTAGATGCAGCAACTTAACCGGCATCGATTATGCCTTATAACCGGCGTCGGTTTTTTTTTTTATCAAATCAAACTCAAACATAGTTCGATTTTTGTTTATTACATTCACCCAACTTTGAAACTCAAACATTGTTCTATTTTTGTTTAGTACATTCACCCAACTTTGATTGAAATCGAACTAATATTATATTGAAAACCCAAACTGAACCAAAATCGAGACACACAACCCTGCCCCTATATGGTAGATTGGAAGCAGTACTACCCACACACTAACTAATAAAATGCTGATAAGAAAACAAAGCCCCCTTCTTTCATTCGCGTTTATTATTATTGTTCAACAAAACGTAGTCAAAACCTCACTATCAAAGTGAAATTCTCACATAGCTATCTTCATTCTTAGTCACCATTAACGGTAAAAAAGAGAATGAGTGAAAGAGTGACACTATTATTTACATAGGCTCAACAGAGTTGGCATTAACACGACCGCAGACGTCGCGAATTTCGAGCTGAACTCCAGCTGAAGGAGGCAAGTTGCTCATCTTCACCATGGCGGCAGCGAAGTCGGTGAGGAAAGCACCAGTGGCATCCCTGTACCTCCTCGCGACGGTGCCAGTCGTGTTACTGCTCATCAGTTCTGCATCGGAAAAGAAAAGGCCTTGACCTTTGACTAACTCCTCATAGTATCTCTTGTCGAACGTTGTGGGTGTGGGGTCCATGCCTACCACCGCTGTGCCGGGGGCAGTGCAGTTGCATGCCAAGGTGGCGGTCCTGTTGGCGTTCAGATTACCGCTCTGGCACAAAAGCACACACCGGGAAACCCCAATGGTGTGTGCTCCAGCCAAGGCCACCATCTCTCGCTGGCTGAAGTTCTTACCCGCAAACTTCTGAGTTTGGACGGTGAGGTTGTCGAATGGTGCTGGAAGTTGGGTGTTTGCTCCGGTTAAATTCGTCGTTCGTGCATCGCGCCTCGCACCTAAGGTTATGTTGTAGGTTCGACCCGTGAATTTGGCATAAGAGTCGCGAGCAGCAATAGCCAACACATCAGCACAGGATACGGGCGTGTCGGAGCACTTAGTTTTAGCGTTGAGTTTGGCTTGCTCGATCACGCCGAACCCTCTCACCGAACCACTGTTCGGCGCTGCACCCTGTTCCCCGGTGAAGCTGGCGGTGTCGTTCAGCAGGATCCCAGCGTCACATCCATCAACAAAGCAGTCGTGGAAGTGCAGACGGATGAGGGAGGCGCCCATGCGAGCCTCCGCGTTTATGGCGGCGTCCACAACTTCTTTCACGGCGGCAAAGACACAAGCTTCGGTGGAAAGCTTGCCGGAGGATTTTCCGAAACCGAAGTAAGACAACAAGTCGGCCGCGTCTAGTGTGTCGTCCAACCAAGCGGGGATCATCATGACCTTACTAAGCTGCCCGATTTGGTCGTCTGCGGCGGCGGGTACTGAGTTCTGGTAAACAGAGTAGCCGGCTAAGACCAGAGCTGCGCAGCTCAAGGCCAGTATGAGCCGAGACACGCCGGAAACCGCCATGATCGGAGAAATTGACCGGCGTTTCAAGTATCAAGTGGAAAGGAGAAAGAAGTGAAGGTTGAGAGTTGAGTAACCGGCGTCGGTTATGTACGCAATTTCGGGTCAATGGCATGTTGACCCCGAAACATGCTCCGTTCGGTACGAAACTTATACATAACATGTATCAAGTCTAAACCAATCAATAAATTCCATTTTGGCATTTAACAATGAAGTATTGAACATATACTAGAGAGACTAAAAAGTCTAACAAAAAAAAGAAATGTCGTTTTGGCCATTCAAAACATTACACATATTTTTATATTCATTTTTATCCAATTAGATGCATAATGTTTCATTTTAGTTCACATAAGCCTAATCACCTTGGCTAATCATATGCTTAAACTCTTTTAAACATCATTATGAATACTTATATCTTTTCTTTAAGTAATCTCATGCTTAACCCAAGAGTTACAAGACATCCACTCACCTCGAATGCGCGTTAAGAAGTTCTACTCTTCTCGGTTGAACTCCGGTGAACTTTATTGAACTCCGGCAATAACTCCGGTGACTCTTTCAACTCCGTGAAAGCTCTAGGAACACCTTAGACAAGTTCCTAACAAGGTTTTCCTGCGAACCGGTCCCTTTGGCTTCTAAGTCTGTTCTTGGACTTAGAACCACCTTCCAACCCCCCATTCTACACTTCTAAACATGTAGAACAATCCTATGAGTCCTTCTTATTACATACTAGTAATACAATATGTGATGAGGAGAGGAAAAGGTTAATACAAGGTCATTACCTTAATCCTTCAAACTTTTCTCCATTTTTCTCTTCTCTAAAACTCCATTTTGGCACTCATTTGCTTGAGCTCGAGTTTAGGCTATGGAGGATGAGTATTGCAGAGCTTCTCCTCTTTAAATAGAAGGCTTGGTCGAAAATGAAGGAGAGGAGGGTTGCACATAGTCCTTTAATTTTTGTCTCAATAGACCAATGAGTGTGGGTGTGAGGTCCACCTCAAGTCTATTCTCACCCATCTCCCAACTCTCCAGCCCATAGCCCTCTTTCCTAGCGTGTTTGGTAGTCTCAAATTGAATTTGAGCATGCAAAAATGTGTGGTGGCCCCCACTCATGTGGGAGGTGGCCCCCGCTCCCGGTGTGGGCCCCACACGCTATTTCCTATTCACGTAAAAGTAATAATGAAAAATTTACAACCTCGTAAATTCATTAACTCATTCTCAATGTTCAATAAATAATTTACATAAAAGTAAAATATACTTGAGGACGGTATTACATCATCATCTTCATTTTCTGAATTGACTTTATCTTCAAATAATAGCCCAACTTCTGCCTCAAGAAGTGGATCTTTAAATCCCAAAACAACAACAAAGGGCACTTCACCCCTAGTCTCCCATTCTGACCCAACAATGGGACTGCCTGTTTGCTCATAAATGTGCATTGCTGTTTATTTCATCATAAATGTATAACAAATTATTCATCTAACACAAATACGTTCAAGTATTAAAAATAGCTTATAAGATAACCAATTTGTTATAATAAATGCTTTTACTAAAAACATATACTTCATGCAATTTTCAACATCAACATTACTTACATAGACAATATGATCAACTATATGTTATGAAAACAATGAAGTCATATATTAGATAATAACTTACAAAAATAACTCATATTAAAGCATATACAACAACACATTCGTAAAACAATACTGTGTTTTTGTTCCATTCAATGCTTCAAACCATCCAAACTCCCGTGCTCCTAAGCTTCGCACTGCATAATGGTGGACTTAATTAGCGCAACAATGGTGAAGTTATTAGGGTTGCGTACCGGCCTAATGTAGATTGTAAACAGATGACATGTTTTTTGTGTGACATGTCACTATTGGTTTGCCAAGTCAACATTGTTAACTTCTTTTTCTAATTGTTGTACTCGTTTATTACCAAACAACTGAGTAGAGAGACTATTGTGTTTGATTTGCAAACTGATGTACTCTTTACTCCATGACTCTCAACTTGATATAATGAATCGACCTTTTTATCTTTGTGTTTTTATGTTTGGTTTAGAAAAAGGAAAAATTGAAAATAATAATCCCAACTATTGCTGGTCCGCTGAAAATAATCTCAACTATTGATTATTTTTGTATAATCCCAACTATATAGACTATCCGCCAATAATGGTCCATGACCATATATTACCTCTATAAAAAGTGAATTTTAAATAGAAATTAAGCGTAAAAATTAAAAGTTGAGATTATTTATACGGATTACTTGTTATATCTCATCTCATCCACTTTAGAAACTACAAGAATTTATTCATAGGGACCATTATTGGCGGAAGGTCCTTAAAGTTGGGATTATTCTGTAATAATCAATAGTTGAAATTATTATGAGCGAGCCGCCAATAGTTGGGATTATTACAATCAATTTTTCCTTAGAAAAATCAGTACGTGATTGTTTAGAATAATGAATGAATTTGAGCATTAGGAAGTTCATGATAAAGGCAGATCACAAATCGTTATGCTATAAACTAATTATATAAAATATTAGTCAACATACTTATCAAAAAATAAAATATACTCGGAGAAAACTAAGTTATATATATATGAGTAGTATTCCTGTCCGACCAGGCCGGACAGGGGTGGTCCGGCCACCTCAATTTGAGGTGGTTCCCGGTGGTACTTTTTGCTCAATTTTTTTGTGTATGTTCCTCATCAAGTCTAGTTCATCCATACCAAATTTGAGCAAACAATTAAATCAGGAAGGCCGTCAAATGATTTTTGCAAGTTAACTGCTTCGCAAAACTAAGACATATGGACTAAGGTGTATGAAATTGATTCTGTTTCTGCTTCTTTTTTTAAAAAACAGAGACATAATCAGTTTTCAAAAGCTGGTCTCCCCAATTTCTAAAAAACTGCTTCCAGGAGCAATTCAAAGCACCCAGAAGTACTTCTACATGCACTCTCAGCCAAACACTCGAATGTCTGCTTTTGCTCCTTGAAGGAGAAGAATCAGGAGCAGATCCAAACACCCCCTAAGTCTTTTACGGAGTATATGATTAACACATAAGACTCAAAATACAAATTTATGTTTTAAGTATTCACACATGGAAAACTTTATTACATTTTTGTTATTTTTATTACACCGTATTTTTCAATTTCTAATTGAAAATATTTAGTCGCTCAAAACGTTTCTCTCTCTAGGGTTGCTGCAAGGTAATCGCTAGCTTCGATTCGTCTGCTGTCGACCATTGCGGAGGAGCGGGCTGGGTTTTCCGGCCAATTGTTGGAATTGGAGAGCCTCTATCTCTAGCAGTCATCTCCCTACGAGTTAGGGTTTCGTTCTTCCTTTTTTGTCATCTACGAAGAGCGGCTGTCGGCCGATTTCGGTCGTGCAAGCAGGCTTGGGATCAGGGATGCAGTGCTTTGGCGGCAGGGATCGACTTCTGCTGATGTTTCTGGTCGAAGGTCGAGTGTTGACAAATTAAGAAAAAGGTGGATAAGCTGTTGCGGAGTTTTGTTTCGATTCAACAGCAAGGGATGTCAAATGAGGATATCGCCAATCAATACAAAAGCATGACTATTGAGGCGGATGAGCGGCGGGCGCGTCCCCCTCCCGAGCTGCCGCCATGAAGTGCAATCAAGTATAGGTTTTGGAAGAAGATGAGTGAACTCTGTTTTAATTCCGTTTTATTCTGTTTGTGTTTTTCTTTCGAATTGCTTGTTATTTTAGACGTGTTCTTATTTCCTAGCAGAGAGATTCTAGAATTTAAGTCAGGTGATAAGAAGTCTGATTTGCCAGTCATTGGCTCAGTTAAGCCCATTACATGATCAACAAATATTATTGCTTCTACAGAGGTGATAGATTCTAAGCCTGGTTCGAGGGCGGACGGCAGGCATAAGGTTTTTTATCGTTTTGTTTACTGCTTTTTCTTTGATTGTATTATCAGCGACGTTGATTTAATATATTTGTTTGTTTTGACGATAAAAAAAGTATTCACACATGGACATCTAGGTGCACCACTTTCTTGAGTGAACATTTTAATCAAAACAATGATTGAAATTTTCGTTGGGTAGAAGAATGGAGCAATACAATAACTATTTTGTACAAAAAAAAATATTTCAAAATGTGTGATTTTCTTTTATAAAGCATATAAATGACAAGTAACACATTAATTTTCATTCATCACTATTGCTATTATTGTGTGTACTATGAACCTTTTTCATCTCGTGTGTATATGAAGAGCTAATTAATAAAAGTAATATAAAGTCCAAATTCAAAACAATAGTAGATCATGTACACATCAATTCTATTGAACCCTCCCCATTTTCAATAAAATATTAGCACCCATATATATATATATATATATATATATATATATATATATATAGGGTAAGGTTCAAGTGAGAAGAACCCTTTAGGTGAGAAGTGAGAATGAATCTCAGCCGTTGGATTCGACTATTTTGCAGTAAAAACACTTTATATTGCACTAAAATATGCAACCTACTTTGGTGGCATTTTCTGAAAAATCCGTATTACAGTCATCTAGTGCAACATGAAGCTGTTTTGGTGCAACATCGTCAAATTTTAGTGCAATAGGAAGCAATTTTAGTGCAACACTGCAAAAAATTAAATCTTACTGCAACATCAAGCTATATTCAGTGCAAAATCGAAAATCCAACGGTTGAGATTCATTCTCATTTCTCACATTAGATGCATTTTTCACTTGAACCAAAATCTATATATATATATATATATATATATATATATATATATTGGTTCAAATAAGAACAAGGCTTAACGTGAGAATTGAGAACAAATCTGAACCATCCAAACAACAAATTATGTTGAGATGATCGAATCATTAATCAAGGGCAATTTTGTAACATTCTTTTGTCTATTTTTTTGTAACTGACAATTGCACTTAATACGTGCATTTCAATTTAGGAAAGGAATTGAACGAGTAAGTTCCACCGTTCCATATCATTTGAAATTAAATATTGTAGTTTGTTCTTTACTTTAATTCTCTTATCCATTTATAATGATTGAAAAAAATTATTAACATCACTTCAGATGAAACGAGTTCTGCATTTCTAATATCATTGAACCTATAATTTATCGTTAAATTTGTTGTTGATATATTGGAAGTTGGAACCTGCCTATTAACATTTCTTTGACAATAGCTTGAGATGAAAATTTTGTATTCTTCGGATTGTAAATATCGTTAGTTCATTCAAAATAAAAGGTAAGAAAATGGTTGTCACTCTTAATAATTTTTTTTCATATTGGTTTTCGTTTTCTGAATCACTGTCTACTACATCAATTTTATATTTCTCAAATGTAATTATCAAAGTGATATGCACTTGTTTTTTCACTTTCTGCACAATGAATGACTATGAGTTGCACATTCATATTGTCCATATGTTCAACATACTTCCTAACATTTGCATATTTTACTCACTCATATGCACGCGTACAATTCACTATTGCACTATTGTGTCACTCAAATGCACTATTTGGGATTGTGTGTTTGATACCGGTTCTTGTGCATAATGTATTTGTTGTGATTCTCTATGCCCATACTATGTTCCACATACGAGTTCTCTAACATATACTCCCTCCGTACCGAAAACAACTTCCCACTTTCCTTAAATGGATGTCCCAAAATTAACTTCACACTTCAATACTTTCCTTATTTGGCAAAATTTTCTACATCAAAAAAGTGATAAACAGTGCCAAACAGTGTTTAAATAGTGCCAAACAGTGTTTAAACAGTGCCAAACAGTGTTTAAACAGTGCAAAACAGTGCATTCTACAGTAAAGTCAAATTTATTTCCTAAAAGTGTGTGAAAGTCCAACCGGGAAGTTGTTTTCGGGACGGAGGGAGTATACATATTGTGTCGTAGATACTAGTTCATGTGTATTATATAATAGTTTA